AGTATCTTATTAAGGATTTTTGCATCTATATTCATTAAGGAGATTGGTCTGTAGTTCTCCTTTTTGGTTGTATCTTTCTCTGGTTTGGGAATCAGAGTGATACTTGCTTCCAGGAATGAATTTGGAAGTATAGCTTCTCTTTCAATTTCATTGAAAAGTTTGAAGAGTAATGGTAGTAGTTCTTCTCTAAATGTCTTGTAAAATTCAGCAGTGAATCCATCAGGGCCTGGGCTTTTCTTTGTTGGTAAGTTTTTAATTACATTTTCAATTTCACTGATTGTGATTGGGGTGTTTAAAATGTTTTTATCTTCTTCGTTCAACTTTGGTAATTCATAAGTATCTAGAAATCTGTCCATTTCTTCTTGGTTTGGTTTTTTGAGACAAGAGTATTGCTATGTTGTTCAGGCTGACTTTGAACTCACAGCCTCCCGAGTGCTAGAATTATAGGTATGTGCCTCCACCATTAGCTAGTCCCCAAGTCTTATGAGCCCTGGGTGGAAGTCCCTGGGAAACAGCCTGCCTGTGAGTATGAAATCTCCTTGTGTCTGGCTGAGGCTGCCAGAAATTTCAGATAACACATTTACCCTTTAATTAAATTTTAGCTAATTTTTCTTACCCTCCTCCTCCCTTCCTTGCTGAAGGTAAAGCAACATTCCTCGTTCCCTGAAAGGGCTTACTTTGGAGTTCAGTTGACTTGGTTGATTAGTGACTTCTCTGATGGGGTAAAGTAGGCTTTGCAGGTTATACAGCCTTGTTAGGGTGGAAGTTGTTCTTGTGTTTTTATCCTGAGCAGAAGCAGAACTGCAAGTGTTTTTTGTACATACAGTATTTTGGCTTTGAAATTCTTTAATTAAATCTTACTGGGGGCTAAATCTGCTAAATGGGTAAAAGCATAGCACTTAGCTGGAGACTCCTCCCATGCCTCTCCCAGGATATTGAATGTCTTCCCATGCCCTTTGCTGAGAATACTGAAGAGGTTCTGTGGAGCACAGTTTGTTTGGTTTTGTTTTTTGTTTTTTGTTTTTTGTACCAGGGATCAAACTCAGGACCCTGAGCTTGTGAGGCAGGCAGGGGCACCACTGAGTTAAATCCCCGGCCCTATAGAGCACAGTTTGAAAATCACTGATCTAATTTGTTCCTGATATACTTTCTCACTGTCAGATACACAAACTTAATCTTCTTGACTGATTATTTTGTGAAGTTGTGTTCATCTCCTGCCTTGTCTTTTACACAGGTGCTTATGGAAACTCTGGGTGCTCTGGGGGCACAGTGCCGATGGGCTGCCTGCAATATCTACTCCACTCTCAATGAAGTAGCTGCTGCTCTAGCAGAAAGTGGTAAGATCTTTTGCTTGTTCTTTATTTCTTTGGCCAAAGTACGTCTCTAACAAGTTCCATTGGTTCAGTGGAAGTCTTTAAGGAAGGTTCACAGTAAAAGAGCTCCTTGGAAAAAATGGATCCCTCCTCTTGATTAGTTTGCTCCCTTTTGGAGCTTCCCTTGTCAAACATGATCTAGTTAGCTTATTGTTTTACAACTGGCAAATAGCTATCTGTATCAAATACTCTATTATTCATGCTCTGCTTTGACTTGCTAATAGAACACCAGCAAAACTACTGTCTAAGGTATTATAAATTAAATAATACTTCATAATTTTGTGGCCCAGCTGGTTTTCTAGCAAGTGGTTCACCCTGGTTTAATGTTTGGTATTTCTGCTTTAGCAGTAAAGAGGACTCAACCTAGAAGATTAATATTTGATCACAACATTCACTCATACTTGAAGGACAAAAGACAGAGGAATTTGGACTTTTTGACTTCCTGCCTTCACTCTCTGGCAGCAACATGTAGGTCAGGGTACCAAACACTTATTTCAGAGCTCTCTCCTGAAAGAGCATGTCCCTCTTGTGGCTAACATTCTTATTTCATTTGTTCTTTCATTTATATTTACTTATTTTATAAAATATATATCACACAAACAATTTTTTTTGGAGACAGGATCTCACTATGTAGTACAGGCTGGCCTCAAACTTGAAGTGATGCTCCTGCCTCAGTTTTGTATATGCTGGGATTTCAGTTGTTCACCACCACACCTGACTAGAAAATCACACAAATATTAAATGTATACACCAGTGAATTGTACATATGCAGTCTTTGCCCTCAGAGTCTTGTATTGTGGTAGAGGAGATAATACACTTACCTAGTACTAATCATAATAAGAGAGCATGTATGATAAATACCATGACAGATCTTAAATCAGAATTTCTTACACAAATAATAGACTAAAAAAAATAGAAACATTCAGATTTCTTGAGTACTCACTTTCAAGTGGGTTAGTCAGGCTCCAAAAGGAGCGTGACACTTATAGAGGCTATGATGTGAAACAGTATTTTAGCAGATGAGAAAGAATATGAGCATTCTCCTGATGAGGAGAGGGAGATGACTAAAGTATAGAAACAAGGAAGATCGAAGTGTAGTTGGGAAATGGTGAGGATCCCAGTTTGATCAAGAAGCACTTATTTCTGATTTCTTTTTTCCTTTAGTGGTATTTTTAGCAACCATCATACTCTTGTCTATTTTGCTTGTCTTCTTTGGGCTAAGGAGAGCAAAATGAGTACCAAAGACAAAGGAATAGGTAAAGGATCTAAAGATAATGCTAGTCAGTGAAGAAAGAAAATCAGTCCAAAAAATACAGCAGAATGAGGGTTTGGACTTGGGGAAAAATTAGCACCTTCTTTCCAAAACTTGAGACTCAGCCCTTTTTACAGCCTTCATGTTTTTCTTTGTTCATTTTTCATAGGATTTCCTGTCTTTGCCTGGAAAGGAGAGTCAGAAGATGACTTTTGGTGGTGCATTGATAGATGTGTGAATGTGGAAGGCTGGCAGCCAAACATGGTAGGTCAGATTTCGGCTAACAACAGTTCTGTATGGATGGGGACTGGGGGGAGGGTATGACCTGGGAGAAGGAAAGAAATGGCTTCATTTCTGGCTGATATTTCTGGGTTTCCAATGGAACCTAATGCTTCTTAAGGTACCCCAAGAGTATTGAACCTCTTGTAACTTCAGAGTGCTTTAATTGTTGATGCCGATGTTGAAAGCATTGATATTCTTCAGTAACATGAAAATGCTGCTCAGAATTCACACATAGCTGCTTAAAAAGCAAGGGTAATGCATTTCTATTTCTTGCTACTGCTTACTACCCACCCCCCGCCAAAAAAAAAAAAAAAAAAAAAAAAAAATAAAAAAACCAAACAAAAAA